CTCCAGAAAATCAACATACCAAATAAAAATAAGATTAATAATATGATTGAAGGCAAAGATCAGTTTAAAGAGGAGAAAAAAAAACATAATCAGAACCACAACAACTGAGAAGCATAGAAGTAGAGTTGTAATGGTATGGAGCAATGTGCAGACTTCAGTGTAACAGACTTTTTCACCTCGTTGTCTTCTCACCTGTGCGGAGTCTGTTGGCTGTTCTAGTGATTCGGGGGATGGAGCTTTGATCACAGCAGAAGACGCCTTAAAAAAAACAAAACAAGGAAAAGGTGTCCAAGATGAGTGAAATGATGCACCATTATAAAAATTGACATTTTCAAGATGTTTTAGTTTTACTTTTGAAGCAGTCTTGGAGGGGTTGACCTTCTGCACCGCTCCCATCACCTCTGACCTCTGCGGTTCCACATACAGCAGCAAGATATTCACAAATGACCCAAAAGACAACCAAAGCATTGGTGCAGCAATTCATGACCTCTCACCTTTGGATTTGGCTCCTCTGTGACCTTGCTGTTTTCCTACAAGGAATAACGATGTTATTACCACTGGTTTGTGTAATTTGTTCTTACATCCAGCTCTGAACGGTCACCTGTGAGACTGAGGTCGCTCCTGAATCCTGACTGTTTAAACTGTGAGGCATGGGATTATTCAGCTCCTGGTAATAAATAAAGCTTGTTGTTATCAGTACATAAAAAATAACCTGAACCAACACACTGTCTAGTTTTCTCACCTCCTGAGTGGATCTGGATGGGACCACTGGGACTGTAGGAACTTTATCTCTTCTAAAGATGTTCATTCTGTAATACAGGAAGTAAATCATACCTACAAATTAGTATAAACCTTTATTATAAACCAATGGCTGTGAACACCAGATTCCATTCAAATATTTGGGAATTTAAAGCACCGTTTGCTCGCTATAAACTTCACACTAAACTACATAATCTGACTGGAGAAACTACTGCGTACTCGGATTTGGTAATTAACTATAGCCGAATTAAAAAACGTGTCAACCTGGGTGGGAGAAAGTCATAGTGTTACTTTGTGCGGCGCACAAGTTAGAAAAAAACACAACAAACCTCACATTTGGCGATATTTTACCGCAGTTTTGAGCGGCGTATGACGTCACTTGTTAAACCTCAGCTGCTGCATTCACGTGCGTTTGACCGAACAGAAAAATGACAACTCAATGAAAAGTGCTTACCTCAGGGTCGGGTCAGAAACAAAGGACAGTTGTCAAACTTGTTTGACTCAGAGAACTCAGTCGCCACTTCCCGTTTCCAAGGTGGAGCCCATTAAAGAAAAAATACTGGGTGGAAAGAGAGGCGGACCTAAAGCTTTTCCTGCCTGGAGCAGCTCCAGTCAGCCAAAGTTATGCTGTAACCAGCATGGAGGTCACAGCAGCTCACACCGTGGAGAAAGTTTACCTGCAGGGGGGCGGGGCTTACGTCCCGTTGAAGTTCACCTTGAAATTGTAACGTGACAAATATTAGAGCCCTTTAGCAAAGTACTCAGATATTTTATTCACTATAATTACTTGCAGATGGCTTTATCTTTAAAGGGATATTTCAGACATTCTGAAGTGAGGTTCAACAGTTGAATGGACGAGGTATTTATTTCAACTAGTTATCAATAGTTAGTACCTCAGCGGACAAATAGTTTAACTCTGGATTGATAATTAAGGAGTCGTTGAAAGTTAACAAGTTCACGGCCTTCTAAAAATGAAATCACTGAAACTTTAAAGGCTCCTGCTAATGTCATTCCATGGGCCTTCCTCTACTTATAGTTTCTCGTTACACAGAGTTAAATTTAATTCTATAATTTTTGGTATAAATAGTAGCAGCAGCAGCTAGCAGTAGCACTTTGAGCAGACTGTGGTCACATTTGGCACAGCTTTTTTTTTAAAGTATGTAATGCAAAGTTGATGGCACTTTACGTGCTTGAAGGATTGTGTTTGCATAATTGGTATATAAAAAAAATTAAACCTTTTTGAAGACAGAGAAATCCTCTCTGGAGGTGGGTCTGCTCAGGTCATCGAGGTGACCTGCTTCTCAAGGAGGTTTCACCATCTTAAAATGCTGTCAGTCGTCTTAAGTTTTACAGCTATTAATGCAAAATTTACATTAAAAAAAGTTTACAACTTGCTCCCCCCCACACACACACACCCCTTCACTGGCTCTGTAACGAGGCACATGCATTCCTACCCTCGCCCTGTTCTCCTCCTGCTTTTTTGCTCTCTGTGTATCGGAGCAGGTCCTGTTTGTACACATCTTCCGAAATTAAAACTACTGTTATGGAGCTGACCAACTGGACTTTCGACACAACTGACAAAATCTTTTCAACAAAACAACAGAGTCCTGGAGAACCCTCATCAGCTCGGACGACACGTGCGGCTGGATATATCTCTGGTGAAGTGTAATGTGATGTGTCTACCTCTGCTGTTGATCGAGGATGCCAAAATTACATATAATTGGATTTATGATTAGTTGCCTGTTTTTGGAATAGTCTGCATCCTGGTTTATCAACATACAAAGAAGACGGCTGCAGCTAATTTGGACCTCGTCAGGCTGTTGCCTAAGTGAAGGTTTGGTTCGTGCTTTGAGGACTCAAAATCAGCTGATTTACGAGTGAAACCATACGTTGGAAGTGATTTGAATCGCAGGCTACCTGCGGCTTTGGGACTCGTCAGCATTAAAACAACCTTGAAGAGGCTTGTAAGCACCATCCAGCGGAATGCACCCTAATCTGGCCATTTCAGACCTTGGAAGTACCAGTACAAACTCAAGGCTGAAGGGAAAAAAGTCTGCCTGGATAAATCAACAATTGTGTTTATCTGAATCTGACTCCCAGCTGGCCTCGAAACAGGCCGACTTATCAATTTCACCTGGGAAATGTGTAAACTAAAGCAAAAGTTTGGTCTATCGCATCCCCCCTCCCCCCGTGAAGGCTTATCAGAACTGTGCTGGCTGACCATCTCATCTTATCAGGACTATGGACCATCTGTTAGTGCTTCATGGACCGCCTCGTCGTCAAATGCATGTAACATGTTCATAAATGTGCTTGATGAGTTTTTTGATTTCTTAAATCGTGTCCTGTTAGGACAAGGTGTGAAGAGATCTGTTTTTATAGTGTCACTATCCTCTCCTCATGGGTTTGTCCTTTTTCCATATAAAATTTTTCTGAAAAGGATAAGAAGGTTGCGCTTATAGCAACACTACATGCACTCCGCCCATCTTTCTTACGACTATGTACATGTTCTCGTATCTCGGTGCAATGATGATGAAGCTTATTCTGATTCTGATCACCATTTTGAAAGAAATATGAAATTCCTGCACAGAGTGGCCTGACCCAACAATACACCAGCTTTGTACCCAGTTCAGAGACGTCATCAGCTCTTCAGTCCAGTCTGTATAAAACCTTTTCAAACTGAAGTGCTAACGTGTTCAATGAGTTTACACCAAGAAGCTCTTTAAAATGTTGAAAAATGTCTTTAATAATGGTCCAATCAGCAATCCAGGAAATCAAAAGAAGTGATATTTTGTGATTCCAACTGCGCTGGCACGAGAGAGACTTCCATAGTTTAAATATATATTTGGTTTGAACATTTGAAACATTTATTCTTTGGTTGATCAACTTAATGCCTGAAGGTATTAAAACAAACACTAAAAAGCTGTACACGTACATTTTATTGCAAAAAGAAACCAAAAAAAGGTTTGAGCGTTCTGCCCCATAACAGGCCAGAGCGGTGTGGCTCAATCAAATGTTATATGTACATCAGAGTTTTACACCGATCTCAAATACTTGGAGAAGTTACAGGTTTAAAAATAAGAAAACCTTCATTTAATTTACGTTTATACAATTCATTCTGAATCATTTAAATTCGGAACAGATTTTGTAAGAAAACATTTTCATATAGCAGCTACTATTATTCAGAATAAGCCTAAAACCAAACGCAACATTTGACAACATGGTGAAAAGTTTTGAATATTTTTCCAAATTACAACAAAACAGAAATAAATCTGTAGGGGAATTTGCAGTGAATGACAAAAAGCAAAAGTCTTCCTATGTTTAATAAAAGTTAACTTTCATAGGGAAGCTAGTATAAAAGGTGAACGAACATGTTCAAAAAGATTAGCCACATATAGACTAATATGTTTACCACAAATTTGAAAAAAAAAAAAAAAAAAAAAAAAGGTGATTTATTTTAAAAACAAGAAAAAATATTAAAATTTTATTTATAAAATAAAAAAAAAAAAAAAAAAAAAAAAGCAAGGTGATTTCTTTTAAAAACTAGAAATTATGTTGAAATCTAATTTTTTTTAAAAGGAATTATCCATTTTGTATCGATCTCAGTATATGGAAGGGGGAAACGCATATAGAGAAAACAAAACAAAAAAAATTCTCAAAACTATGACATCAGGATAATCTAAAAAAAAAAATAATAATAAAAAAAAAAGTTAAGAGGAACAGCCATATTCAACTTCCATGAAAGTTGTACAAATAAATTAAGCTAAAATAAAACACTTGCGATTGATAAAACTTAAAACGTAACCTAATTGTCATTTACAGAACATCCGGTCTTTAACATCCTGTTTTTGGTTCCACTGCTCCCTGTGTGATCGTAAACTGATGATTTTACAAACATTAAGATTTTACCACCAGGTGAGGAAATTAAACCAAATCACACTGAACATTCAAACAAATCCTCTGTGACCAAACAACCAAATTAAAGATGGATTAATTATCCCCACAGTGAAGACGTTTGCCCTAAATACATGGCGTGTGAAGAATAAACCCAGTCTTTGTGCCTCAAAACATAATTAACTGTAGCCCGAGAAGTTTGTAGAATAAAAACATCACATCTTTGCCACAAAACAACAATCAGCTTCACCGATAGTTTGCAGGACTCGTGAAGTTTGAGGTATGAATGATAGATCTGAAAGGAGCAGTTCTGTTATTCAGCCAGCAGAGGGTGCTGTTATAATAAGTCATCATAACCCTGTAGCTTTCTGCAGATCCTCCCTGATCTCGTTCAGATCCACGACGCAGTCGTTGAGCACGTTGGCCACCTGTCTGATTTCACTCACGATCTCCTTCTTACAGCCTTTCTTCAGCTCTCTGGTCTCCTTGGTGAAGTACTTGTCCATCCCTTTGAAGAGGCCCTGAAGCGAAGCCACGGCGTTGTCCGTTATCTCCGTCGCTTTCATCACGGGAGCGTCCACCAGGCTGATGATCTGGACGGCGTTTCGGACCTCCCAGTCCTGAGAGTAGTGCTGCGTGCCGGACCGGAGGAATGGATGTCCGCGCAGCTTGACCAGCCCGTGGTTGAGGAAGTGGAGGATCTTGGCGATGTCCAGTAGGCGCTCCTCGTACTCCTTCAGTAATTCTTCGATCTAATTAGGAAGACACCGGAGGAGACAGTCCAACCTTAGTTACACCATTAAAAATAATAATAATGCATTTTATTTGGTAGCGCCTTTCAAGACACCCATGGACACTTCACAACATTAAAAACACAAAATAAAATATAAAATGGCTTTAAAAACACTAAACCAAGAAGAAAATAAGAAATTCAAGTGAGAAGGCAAACTTGAACAGATGAGTTTTGAGTTGTGATTTGAAGGTCTGAAGGGAGTCCATATTACGGATGTCTGGAGGAAGAGTGTTCCAGAGTTGGGGAGCAGAGTGAAAAAAGGCTCCGTGGCCCACAGTGCTGAGGCGGACGAGAGGCACGTAGAGGTGGATGGAAAAGGAAGAACTAAGGGAGCATGAATGGGTGATAATGTGCAGGAGATCGAACAGATAGGGAGGAGGGAGGAGCGAGGTTATGGATGGCCTTCAATGTGTACAACAGGATTTTAAATTGAATTCTGAAAGTGACTGGAAGCCAGCGAAGTTGCTGTAAAACTGGGATGATGTGGTGAAATGAGGGGGTTTTGGCAACGATGCAGACAGATGAATTTTGAACCATTTGAAGCTTACGGATTAATTTTTGCAGCAGTCCAAAAACAAGAGAGTTGCAGTAATCAATTCGAGAAATGACCAAACTATGGACCAGGATTGAAGCAGAGTGCGGGGAGAGGGATGGACGGACGGTTGATGTTTCGAAGGTGGAAGTATGCAGATCAGGTAATATTATTGATGTGAGAGTGAAAAGAGAAAGTGCTGTCAAGAATGACACCCAGACGCTTGAAGTGAGGGGAGGGAGAAACCAAGGAGCTGTGAATGGTGAGGGAAAAAAAAAAACTGTTTACTTTAGATATGGTGGATTTAGTGCAAATGAGTAGAAACTCTTAAATTAAACAGTGATAAAACAGTTAGACGTAAACCAGGATTTAATTTCAGCTAAGCAGGAAGTGAGGGAGGAAGGTGGAAGTGAAGAATTAGGTGCAGTGGATAAGAAGAGCTGGGTGTCGTCGGCAAAACAATGGAAGTGAATGTTAAATTTACGGAAGATATTGCCAAGAGGGAGAAGGTAGATTATTAAAAGAAGAGGCCCCAGGACAGAGCCTTGGGGCACACCTGAAGCCACGGGGGAGGAGCGAGATCTGAATGGTTCAAGTTGGATGAACTGGGTGCGGCCAGAGAGATATGACTGAAACCAAGCAAGGGGTGTATGGGTGATGCCAATGGATGAAAGTCTGCAGAGGAGGATGCTGTGGGAGATAGTTTCAAAAGCCGCACTGAGAGATGAGGAAACAGTCTTCTATAAACGGATTTTCCATTTACCTTCTTGCGGTCGTGCATGTTGTTAACGTTGTCAGAGATGGCTGCAGAGGCAGAGGCGATTCCTCCAGCTGTAGCCACACCCACACCCACAGCTGTGATCACCAGTGAGGCCCCAAAGGTTATGGGAGCCAGAGCCAAGCCCGTGATGGCGGCTACGCTGCCCACAGCGGTGGTGGTGCCGCCGGTGATGCCGGCGATCCTCGCTTTGTGGTGAAATTCGCTGATGTCATCAGCGAGGGCGTGCAGCGTGATGAGGGCCTCCCAGAGGGCCTCGGCCTGCTCCGTGAACACCTTGTTGAAGACACGCAGGCCGCGCTCAACCTTGTAGGCCAAGACGGTGAACGACCTGCAAGAAGCAACAGAGGAGCTGTCAGGAGTGGTTGGATGAGCTACACTTCTTACATGTCAGCATAAAGATTTTACACAAACAACGAATGACTTGATTCTTAAAGTTTTCATGTTTGGGTCTTTTTTTAAATTAAACAAAATAAAGAAGCAGATTAAAGATGACGAATGCTAAAAACAATACATTGTTGCAGACGAACACTGCCCTGATCCTCATTTTTAAGAAATTTAGGCACAAACCTATAACTGATTCACTTGAGCCAAATGATGCAAGAACAGAAGAAAATACTTTACTGGACTTTATCTTTAGGTACTTCAAAAGTTTCTGAAAGTCCATTCTAGTTTTTCTTTTGACTTCAGCTGCTTTTTCCACTCATTTTCTGTCTCATCCATCACACCATGACAGTATGATTAAATGTTGGTGAATGTTGAGATTAAAGTCAAAGTACTGAGAACAGTCTAAATATGTACATCTGTAAAAAGTCCAATGTAGTTTTGAGATTTAAAGCGGTGTTAAAAAAAAAAAAAAAAAAAACTTGGTGCAAAGTATGCAGTCTCAACTTCTTTTCTGTCTCCCCAGAGAGTCATCCTCCTCCATCTCTGCCCTCTGCATCCTCTGTCCTCACTCCAACTACCTCCATGTCCTCTCTAACTGCATCCATATATCTCCTCTTTGTCTTTTTCCTGGCAGCTGCATTTCTAACATCCTTCTACCAGTATACCCACTGTCCCTCCTTTGGACATGTCCAAACCATCTCAGTTTAGCCTCTCTAACTTTATCTCCCAGTTGTTCAACCTGTGCTGTACCTCTGATGATCTCATTCCTAATCTTATTCACTCCTAAGGAGAACCTCAGCATCTTCATTTCCACCACTTCCAGTTCTTTCTCCTGTCTTTGTCCTTGCCACTGTCTCCAGATCATACAACATAGCTGGTTGTCTTGTAGACTTTTCCTTTGACCTTTGCAGACACCCATCCATCCACCCATCCATCATCTTTACCCGCTTCTTCCTTTTAGGGTCACAGGGGTCACTGGTGCCCATATCCAGCAGTCACTGTTCGAGAGGCGGGGGACACCCTGGACATGTCTCCAGTCCATCACAGGGGCACAGAGAGAGTGAATGGTTGTTTCGTTTGTCTCTCACTCACACCTTTGAACAATTTAGAGTTACCGATCAGCCTAATATGCATGTTTTTGGTCTGTGGGAGGAAACTGGAGTACCCGGAGAAAATCCATGCATGCACGGAGAGGACATGCAAACTCCACCCAGAAAGGCCCCCAGACCGAGATTTGAACCAGGGCAACCTGCTCACTGAGAGGCAGCAGCTCTACCAACTGATCCACTGTGCTGCCTTGCCGACACCCTTATGTCGCAAATCACTCAAAGTATTCAGTCATAGACCTTTTGGAAATAAACTAGTGGTTTCTTCACTTTTAACTCACACACACAATGTGTATTAGGCTTTTAAAACAATTGTTCTCCAACTTGTCTGGAGTTGAAATAAAGTAATTTTTGAATAATCGCAGTAATTTACACTGCAGATGGAAATTTTTCATAATATAACTGTTGTATGGCAGTATTTTGAGTTTTGACCGTTTACTTGAAAATATTTCGAACTTTAAAAAAAATTAAAAATGTAGAAAAAAATGTGTTTGACCTGAAAAAAAAAAAAAGAGCAAATAACTTAAAATCATCTGTAAGTGGCGTTAAGAAACCAGTTCTGTCAGGTCTGGGACAGGTTTCATTCCTGAGAGCGTGATCCACAATCTTCAGCAGATCTTCAGCTGTTTGACAAGTTCCCACATTTAAGCTTTTTAAGAATTACCCTTTAACACAAAATATTTTAGTCCTAAACCATTTAGTTGACTTAACTAAAGAAATGATCAACTACAGCTTTGTGACAGACTGCTGGTAATAACACGAATGGACAGTTATGGTGGCAGCCATCTTCGATTTTGACCCGGCAACCTAATTTTCACATGCAACCTTTCGTATGCCCATTTGTAGCTACACACCAAAATGAAAGATGCTGCCTCACTTATTTTTTATGTTATCCAGCTCACAACATATTTCTAATTCTCCCTCTTCACTACACAATCAGGGACAAAGAGTCTAAAGATCAAAAGGGTTCTTCAAGGTGTCCGTTTTGTTCCAACACAACTTTGGGTCATCTTTGAGTGTAGGAGCCCTTTGATGGCAGAATGATTAAACAGGCCAAAGTTAGAAACATAAATGTTCAGAGATTTGGCATCAGAGGCATCTGTAATGTGGACATGGTGGTGGTGGTGGCAGGGGGATCCAAGGGTCCTCCCCCAGAATAGTTTTAATAAATTAGATGCCATTTCATGCATTCTGGTGTATTTTAATGAGTTGTTTACCTATATAAGTAAACACTATTTTAGAGTTAATGGCACAACAAAAAGTAGCCTGACCAACAGCTCTCCTTGTATGAACAGAGACCACTGTGAAGGTGGTTTTAGGTTGGATATTGGATATTCGCATTCTGCAGATTTAGCCACAGTTGAATAGAGCGCACACTCTGCTTCTCTCACACATCCTATTTTTAGGATTTTTTTTTTTTGTGTGGATTCAGGATTCTCCTATTAAGTGGAATGGATTCTTTCACAAAGAAATAGAAACAGTGCTGGGTGAAATACTGGTAATATCCATCCATCCATTCATTATCTTTTACCCAATTCTTCCATTTTGGGTCACGGGGTCGCCGGTGCCCATGTCCAGCAATCACTGTGTGAGGGGCGGGGTACACCCTGGATGGGTCGCAAATCCATCACAGGGACACAGAGATAAACAACCATTCACTCTCTCACTCACACCTAGGGACTATTTACAGTTACCAATCAGCCTAATAATGGTAATATTTCATGGTAAATGTGAGGGGGTTCAAATGAATATTTTTCAAATGTAAGGGGGCCACATCCCCCTCATATACTGTGCAACTGTTGCGATGCCGTGCTTTAAGAAAAACTGAAGAAGTGTTAATCAAAGACGCTGCTTGGAAACAACTTTTTTTTTAATGCGAGATGACTCAGGACTTGTGCTCAGTGCTGTGTATGTAAACAAGAGTTTATGCAGTAAACTTCCTCTGAAGTTTTATGTTGAATCGCTGCAGAGTTCCTCTACAGAATCACGTTTGAAGTTTTCATCCAGCTGTTCTCGCATTGTTTAACCACTTGGGCAGTTTGCTAAATATTTATGTTTTATTATTATTATTTTTTTATCACTGCTGGTAGGGATGCACGATGTTATCGGTATTAACCGATATTAGCGATAAAGTTAAATATCGGGCATTCCATCTAAATAACTCACCGATATAAAAAGCACTGATATATATGCTGGTGAAGATTCTTAGTCATCCAGGACATGATGAATTCAAAAAGCGTTCAATACAAAAACAACTGGACTTTATTTGTAACAGAAGACGTTTTGTTCCTCATTCGAGGAGCTTTCTCAATTCAAAGAGCAGTGAGTGAGAGATTCAGGTTATAAGGCTGAGTGAGATAAGACACACATATGTAGATTGGCAATTCACACCTAAACCAACATTAACAGTAAGAGTCTTTTGTTCCTCTAATACACAGATGAGACCTCTCTGTTCCCATCAGGTGTGAAACTGGCTGGGAATCTGTTTTAAAGTTGCATTATATGTATTTGAAAGTGGAAATCTGAGGCCTCCTCCTCTGTTAAGAGACAGCTTTTCTCTTTTTAAATAAATTGCTTCCTTCACCCCCCTCTCAAACCATCTGTGTTCTCGGTCCAAATTGTGCACATTTTGGTCCTCAAAAGAGTGTCCCTTATCTGTGAGGTGGAGGTGAACAGCTGAATCTTGTCCTCTCCTGTGTTGAGCCATGCGTCTGTGAAGAGGCTGTTTAGTTTCTCCAATGTAGAGGTCTGGACAGTCCTCGCTGCATTGGACCGCATACACTACACCACTCGGTTTGTGTATGGGTGTTTTGTCTTTAGGGTGGACCAGTCTCTGAGAGTCCTGCTGGGTTTGAAATGTACTGGGATCTTGTGTTTGTTGAAGATCCTTCTGAATTTCTCTAATACTTCAGCAACATAAGGGATGACCATGTTTTTACGTCTGTTCTTTTTTTTTTGTAGTGTAGTGTATGCGGTCCAGTGCAGCAAGGACTGTCCAGACCTCTACATTGGAGAAACTAAACAGCCTCTTCACAGACGCATGGCTCAACACAGGAGATCTAGTTCCACAGGACAAGATTCAGCTGTTCACCTCCACCTCACAGATAAGGGACACTCTTTTGAGGACCAAAATGTGCACAATTTGGACCGAGAACACAGATTGTTTGAGAGGGGGGTGAAGGAAGCAATTTATGTAAAAAGAGAAAAGCTGTCTCTTAACAGAGGAGGATGACTCAGATTTCCACTTTCAAAAACCTATAATGCAACTTTAAAACAGATTCCCAGCCAGTTTCACACCTGATGGGAACAGAGGGGCCTCGTCTGTGAATTAGAGGAACAAGAGACTTATTGTTAAGGTTGTTTAGGTGTGAATTGCCAATCTACATATATGTGTGTGTGTGTCTTTATCTCACTCAGCCTTATAACCTGTATCTCTCACTCTCTGCTCTTTGAATTGAGAAAGCTCCTCGGATGAGGAGCAAAACGTCTTCTGTTACAAATAAAGTCCAGTTGTTTTTGTATTGAACGCTTTTTGTATTCACCGATATATATATTATAAAAAAGGCACAGTTTGTATGACAACCAGTGACGAGGAGATTTGAGTTGATCATCAAGATTGTATAACATATTGGGCTTCTGTTTTAAGTTCATTTTTAATTTAATAAACTGTCAAGTACATCTGTGCACTACTACTCATGCGCTTTTCACTTGCCGCTTGTGAACAGGTTGAGTTTAGATATGCGAAAATTTACAAATTTGCACTGTTCAAGTGTTGTCATTGTGTTAGAGAGTAAATGTCATGAATGAATTTGACATTAAACATAATCCAAGTTGAAGTGTTTCATCGTTTTCATCCCCATTTTTGGCATCTGTATTTGGTAGCAGGCCAAGCTGATAAAGACCATATAGAATAATGTAGTATTTTAATTCTACAACAGAGAAAGCTATGTAGTCTCTGTAAGTATGTCTAGGAAGAAAAAATAATTATCGGTACTGATATCAGTTATCGGCCATCCAATATGCCAATATGTTAAAACTTATTGCCATATCGGATATCGGCCAAAAATCCAATATCGTGCATCTCTAACAACTGGTGACTTCTATCATGCAACTCGATGATGTGACTCCACAGTAAATGATGGTTTATGAAAAGACAAAAGACGCACTTTGACTCGTCCTCTTTGACTTTTGCATCTTCTTCGTCTGACGGCAGCTCGTCCCATTCTGAAACACCAAACCACAGCAGGTTGATTGAAACAAACCAACTGAAACATGTTCGTGTTTCTCTTCAGTTTGTGACTCACGCTCCACTGTGTACCACCACTCCATCAAACTGTCCGTGTCCTGTGGAAAAAAAAAAAAAGACACGATGGTTCAAACTACGTGAACAGAGTAGAGAGCCGTCAAGTTATTCTGCGAAAGCAAAAGAGAAAGCAACCAACCCCATCTTCCTCATCATCCTCTTCATCCAGACCATCTATTCCGCCGTCCTTCTGAGCAGCCATCCACTCAGCCTGAGCGAGGGAGGAAAGGTGACAGCGTCAGCTGGACATACTTCAGCTCGTTGTCACTGTGGAGCAGCGTTAAAGCTTCCTCCACACCGAGCCTTCTGTGAAAGTGGTGTGTGGTATGAAGCTAAACCCGTCTGGCCACATGACCTACCTCGTCTCAGAGGAACGGAGAAAGTGATGCCAACAGAGCAAACATCTCGTGATTGCTTTAAATCATTTGCCATCTGTGTACACCCTGGATTCTTCACGTTACAGTGTTGGTTTTTGTTTTCTTTAAACTAAATATTAACCAACTTGATCTCAGGAGTCGTAATAGTTTCACTTTAACTGTGGTAGAAGTTTATAACATTAATATTAAACATGTTTACTACCCATTTTAAGTAACCTCTGTAATAAAGGTACAAAATATTTTTGATAGGGTCATAAGAACATCTGATCCCAGGTTGTGAGGTCAGAGTGGAAACATTTAAAGCAGGAAATGTGTCATCAATGAGGTTAAAGTGATTCACGTGGAGTGCGTTGGAGGAAAGTTGACTGGAGGAAACAATAAAACTGGATCAGCTACAAACAGAGGCAGACTTGAACAGGGGCCTAAAAATACAAAAACTTACAGCACTGGTTTGTTCTCAGTGGGTTTTAAAATATATAGGCTCTTCAAAATGCTAAAGATTCGAAGGGGTTCTCTCTGATGTCCTTCAGTCCTCTACCAGTTCCCCTCAGGGCTGTGTTCTTTCACCCTTTTATTCATTTTATATACAAACGATTGTCACAGCCAGTTCCACAGCATCACAGTTTAAAGTTTGCTGATAACTCTGTCATCCTGTCCCTCCTCAGCAGTGATGACCCAGACCCCGGGCCTGTGGTCGGGGACTTCACTGAATGTTGTGAGTCTTCTTTTTAAAGATAAATGTTTCTAAGACAAAGGAGATGGTCACTGATTTTAGGAAAGACTCTTCAGTTGCTGCTCCTGTGGTCATTAATGGTGAAGCTGTTCAGGTGGTGCATCAAGATAAATATCTGGGAACTAGGGGTTGAACGAGTATATAATTTTTAAACTCGACATTAACATAAAACCCAAGTAGAACTCGAGTATTTGATGACGTCATAGATCTCAAGATACAACAATAAATAAATAAAACCGCAAAAAAAGGTAATTATTTACAAAAAAAACCAAAAAAAAAAACATTGGGAGCGTATATTATGCTCCTACCATTTATCATACTGCAAATAAGTCACAGGAAAAACAAAACTATTAGTTATTATTATTAAACTGCAAACATGAAGAAACGCAGCACGTCAAAAACTAAACTTAAAACGAAACTGGTTCTGGTTAAGTGGATTAAACCCGGTGTTACACCATACTCTGTGACCTGCAACAGTGCAACACCGCCCCATACGGTCATACGTGGTCACATAATATGACGTCACTACAGATACCCGAATTTACATTTTTAACCTCGATAGATGTCCTAGCAATCGATGTGTAGATTACTCGAGTACTCTGTTAATGCCCTACTGGGAACTGTTCTTGATGACAAAATGACCTTTGACCCCGATGTGAACTCACTTTGTTTGAAGGTTCACCAGAGAATGTATCTTTATCAGAAGCTCTGTGGTTTTAATGTTGATTCAACTTATGAGAATGTTTTATTCATGTTTTATTGAGTCTCTTTTAACTTTTACCTTCATCTGTTGGTTTGGATTGTTAACATAAGAACAGGAACAAACTCTCGGGGACTGTCAGGATGTGCAGCAGAACTGCTGGCATAGTCCTACAGAACCTCACTGACCCACAGAACCACACTGACCTACAGAACCTCACTGACCCACAGAACCTCATTGACCCACAGAAGCTCACTGACCTACAGAACCTCACTGACCTACACAAGGTGAGGTCAGTGAACAAGGCCAGGCTGATTCTGGCAGATCCTGATCATCCACTCCACAGTGAGTTCAGGTTGCTTCCATGTGGACGCAGGTATCTGCTGCCCAGATGTAGAATGAACAGACTGAAAAACTCATTCATCTCTGTAGAGACCAGACTTCTCAATGAACAGTGATGGTTTCATGTATTAGAATGTCTTAATGTATTGTCTATAGTGTGGATGTTTTGCGTGACTACTGACTAAGAAACAAATTGCCCCTCGGGGATAATAAAAGATCTTGAACTTGAACCCCCCCCCCCCCCACACACACACCTCTTAGAACATCAACCTGCTTTTCAGGTTTGTTTTTTTTTCTACATGTTTGTAACATGGATATGAATAAACACCAGAGATGGTAAAGATGTCCCGTTTTGAGCAAAAGAAAAATATAGTGCAAAGTTTTTGGTCAAGCTACTGAAAATAAAACCGTTTCACTTCAACCACTGGCCATCCAAACTAGAATTATGAACTACAAGATGTTTGCACAAGCACAAATATTGGCTGAAGAATAAAGAGCGGGAAGTGGAAGCACGGTGGCCACCAGAGGGAGGGCAGTCATTTAGAGGCACAATACTGTGATAGTTTTATTATTTGAATATTATCAATATGCTCCTTTTTTTTTTTAAAGTGTTGAACTGACCTTTGCAGCCTCTGACAGACGGTCACCAGCTGGACCCTCCCCCTCTGAAGACATGGCTTTACTCTGAGGAGACATCAGTAAAACGTGAGCATCTTAATATTCAAAGAACTAATATCAAGATGAAGTTGTCCAGACTCACCTTGTGCTTGAACTTTTTGGGAACTTTCAACTTAAACTGCTTTTTCTGTTGAGAACACAATTTCTTAGTTATGTGAGCCGTCCAGGTTCAGGGGACATGTTTGAGTGAGAACATGAAGAGTACCGGTTTGTAGAAGTCCGGTTCATCTTGCTCTTCATCGTACGCCTCATCAGGACCCTTCATGCCGCTCATGTCCTCAGCAGAGCCTCCCTGAAGAAATGAGCAGAAAGTCCAGCAGCCGCAGCAACACAAACAGATGAATGATGCAGGAAACTTAAAGAGACGTGCACCGAGCAAGCACTGGACGTCTGCCGAGGTGTGCACTGTGCAGTAGCTGAACTTACCTCTTTCAGTTTGTTAGATGTTCTGGATTTGCGTGGTACAGGAGCGGAAATCTTGTGTTTGGAATGTTTCTGACAGGAAAAACAACAACAACAAACATGATTCTGTACAGAGACAGAGCAGCAGGTTAAAAATAAAAAAAATGAATGGTTTGATTAAACAGAAGTGTTTAAAGGATATAGCTCCAATCATCTGAAGATTTCTGTGGAAAGGTTCAATGTAATTATCTTACCTGCTGTAGATAGTGCTTTGAACAATCTCGCTTTGAACAATCATTTTGAATCAGAAAAATAATTACCGTAATTTCTGAACTATAAGCCGTTACTTTTTTCCACACACACACTTTGTACACCGCGACTTATACGATACTGCAGCTAACTTATGTTTTGTTTGTTTGTTTGTTTTTACGGGCTAACAAGCTTCATGCCACCAAAACATTTAGCCTCGACCGACTGTTGGAGTCAGCCTCCCCACCATCACAGACATCTACACCTTCAGATGCAGGAAGAGGGCCACCTGCATCATGAAGGACCCCACTCACCCAGCACATCCAATTTTTTGCCCCGCTCCCCTCAGGAAGGAGGCTGAGGAGCATCAAGTGTAGAAACAATAGACTCAGGAACAGCTTCTACCCTGAAGCTGTTAAGACTCATGAATGTCTAACCAGAATAATCAATGTAATGACACTTGATTGTTATGTGCTGCTGATCTCATGCTGCTGATCTCATGCTGCTGTGTTCACTCGTGCTCATCTGCTCACACAGACTCATGTTCGTGCTGCTGTTTGTGGCATTGTTTTTATGCTACTAGTTCTTAATGTGTTTTTTCTCAATGTTTTTCTTAGTTCATATCTTATTGTTTTTCTTTTACATTTTATTGTTTGATGTAATTGGGACCCTGTGTACACAATTTCATTCCACCACATGTGATGTAAACTACAAAGAAATTTGGACTGACTTGACACCCGGGCGCTCACATAACTACCTAAAACACGTCTCTCATGGTGGTGGTGGGGTTCGTCGTGACTCAGCGAAACTCCCTGTATAAATAAAGGTTAAAAAAAAAATTAAAAAAAAATCTGACCAATGAAATTTCAGAACAAATCACAGTGGGGGGGGGGGGGGTGTATGTGAACAGAGTGCATTAATATGGCACTATACATATAGATGGATATCTATGAAGGTGATTATGACGATGGCAATCAATGACTTCCTGGTAGGCTACTGTATTATTTTATTTTACCATCCATGTTAAAAGGCACTGTTCAGAAAAAACACTGTACATATTTGTGTATGTTAATAACGTGTTATGTGCCGTCATCCTTGTATGTTCCCATACAATGGTGAAATTGGCTCTGCATTTAACCCATCGCACCTGAGATACACTCAGGTGGAGCAGTGGGTCAGTACGCATTTAATTAAAAGGTTTTTAAAAAAATCTTTGTGTAAATATCTCATGTTACAACATGAACCCCTGCGGCTTATAGACAAGTGTGGCCTATATATGTACAAAATTAATTTTGATCTCTTATTTAGCGGTGTGGCTTATATTCATGTGCGTCCAACAGTCCAGAAATTACAGTACATTTTGATTGGATTGCGTATGTCAGGGATGATGTCACAAGTATTGTGGGAAACCGCGAAAGACATACCTCAAGAATGTTTATTGATCTCACCGGAGGACATTGACTGATTACAGTGACCTCGAGAGCATCTGTAGACGTTGTTGACCGCTCTCGTCTCTTCCTTCTTATGCTCTGCAGAATGCCTACGTAAATATGTGCTTGTTTGTGCGAAGTGTTTTTTCAATATTAAGAGGTTTTTCTCAGCCAAGAAAAAAGTCTATTAGGAATTTTTTTTCGCCTCCAATTTCCTACATGTGTCCAGTTAACCACTGTTTTTGTCTGTCCAAACAGGTCTCACTTGTAAATGAGTCTTCGAGGCTCAATGTGATTTATCTGTTTAAATAAAGGTTGAATGAAAGTCCCAGATGTCCGGCAAACAACGTGTCAGATGGCATGGAAAATTACCTCCAATGCCTGTGTCCATGTAAATTTAAACAAAAGAGATGTTACCGGGGCCATAAGGACTTGGATTTTATTGAAGGGTTCAATAATACACAGCTCAAGCTCTGGCTACAATGCAGAGGACTAGTAGTGTCCAGCAACTGAGCTGAATTAATAAATGGTATGAGTGTTGATTCCAGTCTTTTTGTTCTGATTTGTGCTCTTTGTCCCAGCCTCCGTGAGAAAGAACACAAAGAGAACCGATGATCCGCCATGTTTTGTATAAGCAGGCCTGATGAATCATTTTATCAGCTGTTGTAATTTTACTTTAGTTAGCTGCCGTTAGCTGGCAACTATCAGTTATTTTAGTCTTGTTTTTCAAAATCAAAATGTTCTTTAAAAAGTTATTACCACTTCACTGTCTGGCTTGGTCAAAGAAAGTTATCTACACTTTTTTTTTTGTTGCTAATTTTAGATAAAACCCACTTTTAGATTCCAAGTAGAGAATGTCAGGATGGTGATGGTTCTTTTTAAAAATATTTTTTAATAAAACGTGTTATATTAAAACACGTGTACACATGTTCCTGTGTACATTTGTCTGATTGAAGCTAACTCAACTCAACCAGAGTCCAACAATCACATTTCTCTTCCCGAGTCATCAGCTTTGGAAACACCATGAACCAGAAACCATTGAAAGGTCCGAAGCAACAAACATTCTTGGAGACAATATTTTTCCTGTTTACTGGTAAACGACGACTCCAGCATTAACTGTATTGTACTCAAAGTTCAGCTCGTCTAATATCCAGGTACTTGATGTCACAGATTACACAGGGAGCTGCTGTAGCATCTGACCAGCACCATTAATGAGCCGACAGTCCATGCAAACAGAAACCAGAGAGGATTCTTGCAGTCTACAGAACTCTCATTAAAGTGAACTTTATTTTAAAATCCTTTGCACCACTCTTTACTTTACATTGCACAGTTTCCTGGCAGATATATTATAACAATATAACATAACTTATCTGTGCTGCTGATTATCCATGCTGCTGATCTCTCGCCTCCAAGCTGTTATATTCATACCCATCTGCTCACTACGACTCATGTTCAGGCTGCTGTTTAATACATCGTATCATTACATTATTAGTGTTTAGCATATATCTTAGATCCTTGTATACTTTTTTATACTTTATATTTTTACTGTTTTTGGGTGTAACTGGGAACGTGAGTACACAATCTCGTTCCACCTCATGTACCACATGTGATGTGTGTTACAGGCTGCACCAGAAGTGCTACAGTTAGCTGCTACTGCCAGAGTTTACACTTACAAACGAGCAGAAAACTCCATGTAAGTGTGTAAAGTAAAACAGCTGGCAAGAGTAAAAACTGGAGTCACATCCAGCGCTGAGGAACCTCTGACACTGGAGTGGTTTCATAATGGTGACGTTTCGGCTCGGCTCAAACTAGCTGTTAACTGGTTATTCTGGTCAGCACTAACAATTATCCAAACCGACATCGTTCAAAGAGTCATCTGCAACGGGTAAGATATTATTTCTTTTAAATGTTTCCACAGAACTCCACTTCAACAGATCTGAATTATTTAATGAGTTTTTGTAAACCTTTCAGTGCTCCGAGTCCTGCTGTGTCTTATAGACTGCTGCTGATCATCTGATCATGTTACAAACTGCTGCTGATCATCTGATCACAGAAACCTACCGGTTTACAGTCCTCCGTCCCATAGAAGTCGTCATCGTCCAGCTCTTCGGCTGAAACGCTGCCCTTTTTTTTCTGCACGCTGCCGTCCTCCGGCACGTTCTCCTACATGACACACAAACACATCTAAACTGAGACATTTGTCCCAACAAGCTTTTGCTTTTCACAGAAATGGACACAAACCTTTGAACTTCGATGACCGGCAGATGGAAGTTTGATCTTTGCATTTTTCTGTAATATAAAATAAATAAATAAATAAAATATGGACATGCTGAAACTATCCGATTAGAAATTAATAATAAATTACATGTTTCTTTTTTAGGGTTCCATCAGTGTTTCCATTTAGTCCTGGGGAGTAGCTGTGTGGTTTCTGCACATCGTCCTCCATTAAATCCATGAAAGCTTCCTGAGCAATAGATTTAAAAACGTGCTGAATGTTGGGAAATCTGTACGACTTGAATAAACTGGAACTTCTGGTTAAAAATAAAAACACTACCTTCGAAGCCAGTTCAACATTTATGTATTCCATCTCATCTTCATTCAAATACTAAAAAAAAATAAAATAAATAAAGTTTAGCTTTATAGGGAAATTAACCTAACATTTTCAGAATGCATTTCTTTTTATGCACTGGTTGATTATAAACCATAATCCAAGTTTCATCAAGTCATGACAGAAACAGAAGTGCACGTGCTTCTCTAGTTGTACAATGTGAAGGGATTGGTTTTAACAACCATAAACCATGATACTCCCCCCACCTTGCATTATACATGAACTGAAGGTTGAAAACTGCACTCGTCTTTTCCCACCATTTATGAAGTGCTGACTAAAGTCTTGTCCATGAAAAGACAAATCTAGGTTGCCATTTGGGGACATTTGCTTCATTTTTATTTTTCATTTATTTTATTCAGTAGCTATTCTTGTTTTGTGTTCATCTTCTCAAGGAAGTCTCCCTAAAAGCTCAATATTTTCACAGGTTTTTGGTGTTAACAGTATTTTAAAGGACATCTATTTGTAGGTTAATCACTCTTAAGCAAACTAACATCGTGTCATCTTGTCGACATATTTACCCCCATGTGCAGAAGTTTTTGTTTAAATATTTTGTAAACTGAAGCGGATCGTTACCTTAGTCTTGTCACGAGGCGTGAAGCCATGCGCACCAAGGTCTTCAAGTGATTTTTCCTATAGGTGTAAAAATCCCATCATGCAACAGTGTTTGAATATCCTCATAGCAAACATCTTCTACAGTGTATGGTTATACCTTGGAGCCTTTGCGAGGCGTGTATCCATGAGCTCCTTTAGGTTCATCCTCAGCCTGTTAAGAATTAAAGCAAATGTTAAAATGATGCATTCTGCATGCACAGCAGTGAAACGTCGAGCAGTTTGGGATGCAATACCTTCTCCGTAGTGATGGCAAAGCCTCTTTGTGGCACAAACTTGACTTTCACTTTGCCTTTCTTCTTCTGCAGAGAGATGTGGATTGTAAAATAATGTGCACAGCACATTATTCTCAATTCTGTTCAGAAAGTTCTTTAAATACTTTTCATCATTTGTGTTTTTGGTGACTGCCTTGAAAGGCACCTATTGTTATCCACCTGACTAGGGTTTCTTAATTTTATATCTTACTCTTCCTTTAATTTTAATGTGACCCGAACCGCAATATGTACCCCCAAAGATTTAATAACAAAACCGGCTCAGCACCGTGATGTGCGCCACTACTTTTATTGGTATTGCGATTTACCATGGTGATGATGTTTCACCGTTCTTCTCATTGAAAAACACTGACAGAACTCTTAGCCTCTAACTGCCACAGTGAGGTCACATGACCCACAGCGAAGAAGTCTCTGAACAAAACTCAGTAAGTCATCGAACAACTCTTCCTTCTGCCACATCCTTTAAGATACACATGCTTTATACATTAGTCTCTCACTACTTCACGGTTCGACTTTGTTGACTCGCTCTTTCGCGGTTTGTCAAAGTAAGATAGAACACGAGAATTTTTTTTTTTTTTTTTTTTTTTTTTACACGAGTGCCAACTTTATTACTCACATGATTGGAAGTATGGAATACTGAACAGTAAAAAATGAACGAAAAAATAATACTTTGGTCAGGCGCATTTCGTAGTTTTCTCTCAATAAGCCTACACTGTAGTCCTGCTCATAGACTACATTTCCCAGAAGCCAACAGTGCTCCGCCCAGAAGACCCATTGCCTTCTGCTGAAATACTAGAGGGAAAGTTTTGATCTGATCACAAAGTTTGACCCTTATTACAGTGACTTCAGCGCCCAGCGGATGCAGAGAACCGCACGGAACCCACCAGGAACTGGAACAGAACCGGAGCAGAATCGGACCTCCAGACTCATCGGTGAATCAGAGATGGTAGCCGGCCCACAAGGACTTCACAGGGAGACGTGCACAGCCAAAGGTCCTGCGCACCCTCCGGAGCCCACCCGGAACATTTTCATCTATTGGACCGTTCAATCGGACCGCCGGTCCCGCACCAGCCACCCAAAAGGTCTGCCCCCTTACTTATACTCCTGTACATCAAATCGTAGGCATTTGTCGTCTTTCCACCAGTTTTCCTGATTGAGCAGTAGGTGACATGGATTTTTCATGAAGTGCTTCAGAAGGTAAAGAGCAACCATTTAATCTCTTAAAGCTACATTTAAATGGCTTCAACTCGGCTATTTTTACACATACGGAGCTGAAATTCGGTATGGTGGTAGCTGAGAGCGAACCCCAACACAAAGTACCGTCAAATAAAATGTTTTAAATGGCCGCCACATGGCAGTGCCCGTCAAAGTTTCTCCAGGAACGTTCTAGTATGTATATAATAATCAGTCCACCTCTTTATTCGCGAGCTCCCCTCCCTCCTCCTCTTCTTCTTCTTCTTCTTCTTCAATGTAGTTGTGGTCCAGCGTTATCCTCTGACAGGGGAAAAATAAATCACATTTCTTATTTCTGTCCTATTTTAGTGCGCGTACAATAAATTAATGCGTTTGTCTTTATTAACATTTATCAAAATACATACTGGCAGGAGACTCTGAAGGATTAATTTTACACTGTTTTATTCATTCATAAATACACATGTTGAAAACACATGCAGCTTCGGTTTTTCTAACAAAAAAATACCTCAGAATATCGCCGATGAACTCTGTTCTTCTTGATGTTCATCTCATCAGCATCACGGTTCTGTTGGAGACAACTAGGCTGTGAGGTAGGAAACTTTTTCTCTGCACATATACAGCTTTGTAAAAGAAAATTAAAAAATAAATAAGTTCGTATTTTCTATAACCCACCTTTAATTCTTGAGGTAAATGTCCGTTCATGTGTTTTCCTTTAATCCCAGTGGAAGCAGTGGACGCTCTTCGAAACAAGTTATTCACTTTGGACTTGGTAGGATATTTTTTCTAATGGACCAAAAAAAAACAAAAAAAACATTACAAATAAATCTCAGTTCATGAATGTGGAAGAAACACACAAAAACAAAAGCAAAATCATACTTTGAAGTCCACATTGCTGTTAAAACCGTCCTCGTTTTCTCCTGTGGGTGAACCTGAAACATCCTAGAGAAGAAAAAGGATAAGATCAGGTGAGCCTTTATCTACACCTGAAGGGGAATATTCAGTAGGGAAGCATATGACGGTAGCAGGTAGAGAACAGAGCGCATCAGATTTAGATTAAATAAATAATCCAACAGTGTGCCAGCCTTAAAGAAACCATCAGACTGAGATGCAGTCTTCTCTGTGAGGAAATCCTAAAAAAACAAAACAAAAACAACAACAACAACAAAAAAAAAAAACTTACCTTGTCCAAAATGTTTTTAGTTGTTCTCTTCATAATAACTACACTACAAATTTCTCTCCATACCCAAATAGACATTAGTATGTGGCTGGATTGGGGCAAAACCATCGACAATGTGACAGAAATTATGACGCTGTTATGACTCTAGGTAGATCAGTCAAAGTAGGTTCTTGGATCAATTAATTTTCTGTGCCCAGTTCAGGCTTTGGGTAGAATTGCATTTTTTTTTTTTTTTTTTTTTACGTCTCTAGGGATAATTTAGTTTACAGACTAACAGTTGCTGCTGTCCCTGAACATTTTGAGATTTTAAGATTTAAACTGCACACTGGTCTGAATAAAAATCTTTATTTTTCCTCTCAGTTTTCTATAGTAGTGACAGTAAAGAGTTTTTAGACTCGTTTCAGGAAACTGTGATCTCTGCTGTACTCAGCAGAAGCTCAGGTGAAGCCACAAGGAGAGAATTAAATACTAGAAATCATTTTTAGATTAAAAACAGCGTTTTGAAATTTAACAATAAACACGGACCAGAGAAGACTAATTTAGTCTCTCATTTAGGAACCCTACTCTAGAAGATGATACCAGGTCGGGGAGTGGTGGCACAGAGGTTAGAGAAGGTGAGCTTGTGATCGAAAGATCGCAGGTATAAACACCCGGTACAGACATCAAAATGTGGGTGGAAAAGGTCAAGCACCCACACCTGCCTCCACCTTCATCTGCCCCACCCTGGGCCCCTGAGCAAGGCCCCCCAACCCCCAACATCTGCTCCCCCAGGCACCCTAGATAGCAGCTCTCTGCCACACACAGAGGGTTGTGGTAGCTCAGTAGTCTGTGGTTGTGTCAGGAAGGGCCTCCAGCATAAAAATTATCGCCAAGTCTTTGTGCGACTTAGTTCACTGTGGCGACCCCCGAAGAAGGGAGCAGCTGAAAGAAAAAATAAATAAAATAAAACTCTAGATGATGCTGCCACCAAGCTGTTTCCTAAATGGTACTTCTAGCCATTTAACTGTCAATATCCATCTGTACTGTTTTCTAAGCTTTTTTATTGTTTTCTATTGTATGGGTGTACACATGTTTATGTTATGTTTTTAATGTTACTTTATTTGTGGGTGTACACAGGTCTTAATGTCTTGTGTAATGTTCTCATATTTACTTCATTTTTACTTTATTTTACTTTATTACTATTCGCACCTTATGTCGAAGCAAATTCCTAGTTTGTGAACCTCGTTCATTGACATGGCAATAATAAACTGATTCTGAAACTGATTCTGAATAATGGTGTACTACAAGGCTCAGTCTTAGGACACACTTTCTTCACAATTTATATACAGCAAGTAATGTAGGTCAGAAATTTCTTGATGCCTCCTTACATGTCTATGCTGACGATGCAATTGTTTTTTGTCGAGCTAAAACAGTTGCTAAGATTTTCCAGTTTCCGCAGTCTGCATTTGACATCATCCAGTCAGATTTGTTCCATCTCAAACTGGTGATAAAACAAAAGGGATGTTGTTTTCAAACAGAAAGTTGGTGCCAACAGTCCTTCTTATCTTATCCATGCACAGTGTTCCTATTGAGTTTGTGGATTCTTACAAATACTTGGGAATTTTGTTTAAAGTACATTTCTCTTTTAAGTCGCATGTCGAAAACTTGACAAAAAAGCTGAAATTAAAACTGGGCTTCTTTTTCAGAAATCGATATTGTTTAACTGAATACCAGAAAACGCATTGCAACTACTACTTTCCTACTGGCCATTAACTATGGAGACATTATTTACATGAATGCCCCTACCAACTGCTTGCAGATGTTAGATGCTGTCTACTATAGCATGTTAAGGTTCATAACTGTTTGTACTGTACCCATTACTGCACCCTGTACTCCTTGGTCAGTTGCCTTCTTACATCTCCTCCCACATGTCACGTCAGTGCAGTTACGGCGTGCGCTCAGGTCTTCCTTACCTGCAGCGTAGTGTGGACTGAATTCAGCAAAAAGGCCTTTTCTTACTATACTCCTGTAACCTGGAACACCTTGCAACAAGATCTGAAGCTGTCAACCTTGACCTCTTTAAGGGATTTTAAACATTTGATAAGGTCATTAGAAAAATCAAAGCAAATATATTCTAGTTTTTAGTATTTTACCTTGTTTATAACGTATAAACAAGGTAAATTATAAGGCACCTTGATTTTACAGTTTACACTACTTTCATTTTAATTTTATTTGCAATTTCTTGTTGTGTACAGTCTATTGTTGTCTGTACCTCATCTGTTTGACTAATACAAGTCTTTCTTGAACATGAGTCTTTGTGACAGTGAGACTAACCTGTATAAAGGTTGAAAGAATGTTGCCAAGATCTTGTCACAATCACAGTCAGAGCCCAGACATGAGGCATCTGTGGCCTCATGTCACATAGATGGCCATAGATCCTCACTGCCATCACACAGCCATAACATTGGTGCACGCTTGAAACATGCTCCATCGCATGTAATGAGTCCACTGTGCTCTTTATCACCCCCTAAAATCTTCACAGGGCCTGCAAAGACCATCCATATATGGCCATTTTTTTCCCTACACTACACTAGTAGCAAGGTCGTCATCCATTGTAAAGAGGGCCCAACTCATTTGCACATTTCCATTTAATTTTTTGACAAACTGACCTTTACCTTTGGTGATTTCCCATCATCCATGGTGTCATCAGGAAACTTGTCCTAACAAAAGAAATTTGATCAAAATCATGACAAACATCCAACGCACGTTCAAAGCAGTGTATGGGTTGGGTTAAACCAGGGGTGCCCAAACGTTTTACCTGAGGGTGCCAAATCTAAATCTATCAGAGGGCTTGGGCCAAATGCAATGCAAATCTTTAAGTAAATTCCATTTATTTATTATACAGTTGCTTAACCTTCCATTCTGTATAAAGAACATTACAGAACATATAACAAGTAAGTCATATATAAGAAATTAAAACAAATATTGAAATGCTGGCATTTCAGTATAATTATATGTAGTGCAAAATGTCAAAAAACACATGTCCAACAGCAACACAACTTAATAGCAATAATAATATGAACGTACATAAACAGTCCCATATCTAGTTATTGGGACAACTTTTCCATTTAACATTAAAAACAATGGGTGGAATGACTAGGCCTGTCACGATAAACAATAAAATCAATTATTCGCATGATAAATGAAAATTATTGCCCTCATCTTCAGTTATCGGCTTTATCGTTTATTCGTGTTTTTCTCTGAGGACAATGGATGACAAAAAGCTCAACTCAGGTGCTCTACACTGGCCCCTCATTTTCTCTTTAAAATCAGTTTTAACCGTCCAAAATCATGTTTTTGGATCGCTAAAAGAAGCTAAGCTCAGAAGCTAAGCTACGAGCTAAGCTAACTGGCCGACCTCCGTAAAAAACCTCCGTCTTGTCAAATCTCCAAAATTCACTGTTGAAACCCGTGTCTTCATGTAACAAGTTGTTTTTCTCTGCAAAAAGAAGCTGAGAACTTGTTTACTTTTTTAAATTAAAATATTTGTGTGAAAAATATTATGCTAAAGAGCTCAAACCACACAGAGCGTCCGCCATTTTGAGAGCCGAAGAGACAGCCCATGTCACGTCAAGGGCCCTCCCTCTCATTTTTCTTAAAGACACACACTGCTGTTTCCTCACCATCCATCCTTGGGTTCAAAAAGTCTTATCCGGTGGTCAAAAAAAGGTACTACACTCAAAACAAATTTACCAACATTTCTTCTTAAATTTGACAATAATTACCATTTAGTCAAATTTCAAACAATATCGTTTATCGCAATAATTTCTGAGACAATCGCCCAGCAAAATTTGTTATCGTGACAGGCCTAGGAATTATTGAGTGAAAACGTAAATTCTTCAAAGGAAATTTTAATATAGTAACGAGGACAGCTTGGCGGGCCAACTTTGGGCACCTCTGGGTCAAAGGAAGGAGCCACAGAGAGACTGTTGGATTTCACAAACCTTTGCTCTTCTAATGGACAGCAGTGACCTTCGCAACTTCCTGTTTTTTTTCTGAAAAATATGTTTACAAGTTGAGGTGAAACTACAGCTTCTAAAATGCAACAAACAGTAAATAACTAAAGGAGTACCTTCGCGTGACCTCCAGAGATATCTGGATCCTCACTACTTCCTCCATCAGAATCCAGCTTCACCTAAAAGCAGCAGACGAAAACTTTAGATTTTGTTCTCGATTTTAAAATGTACATTTTTAACAAAATTAATTGAATCTCCTTTGACCTTCAGCGACTCCCTTCTTAGTTTAAATTTTCCAGACTAAAAGAAATAGAAAAGAGCAATTTGTAAGGCAATCAAATGTGCATAAAATCTGTTAAATATGATGAAATATATTTGTTGTCTTACTGGTTTAAAGTCGGGGTTGAGCTCAGGACTGTCTTCAGGCCAGTCTTCTACACACCTTTCCTATTTTTTTAAAGAAATAAATCTTTACATAAAACAGTTCTACGTTTTATGTACAAACACTCGAGTAACATTCTTTTTTTAAATAGTTGGAGAGCTTGTGTTTGGCCATAACTGTAATTTCTTCATAGCTAAATTTATTATTTTCGTTAGTTGTGAGTGTAATAAACAGTTAAACATTCCCATGTTACTGTCAACCCTTCACTCCCTGACCATTATTAACCTGAACAATTTTGTAGTAACATACCTGCCCAGTAAGCAAAACATCCTCAATGACCACATAGTTCTCAGGATCCACTGGTTTCATCTCCTGTTTGATGTAATGAATAAAGACGTTAAAAGGAAAAATGTAAAATTGATCATTTATAATCATTATTATTTTTATTGTGATTATCCTTCCTTGGTGTGGTCTGGCTCCATGACATCTTAATACCCCACATATGTCATGGGGTATTAAGAAACCCCATGACATCTGTGCCAGTCAAGTACTGGTATCGGTGTATGTATAAACCCTGAGCCATCCAACACTGTGTCCCAGCAACTGGCATCATGTGGAGTACAAGTTCACCTTCTCAAGGCTCTCAGTAAAACCAGAGCAGAGAAGACTATGTTTGGAGTGGTGTTCCACCTCATGATGTAACTGATGGAGAGTCGTTTCATGTTCAGTGAGGAATATTTGCTCTACGTATTATGGACAGTCATTTGTATTTACCACCAAGACAAGCAGACCGAACCTGACAATGTTTGGGAGAAACGCACCAGCATTAATCCTGGATTCATGGTGTGGGGAGTCAAACTATGACTTTAGGCCATCTCTGGGAATGATCAGGGGGACCCCGACTGCACAGTGCAGCACTAGCTTCAGTATGACTTTGGTAGAACATTAACAAATGCTGCTGTCTTTGTTCCGTCTATTTTACAGAGTAAAACTCTCAAGAAAAGACCCCTCTCCCTCAAAAAATAAAATAAAACATGGGAATAAAATAAAACCACCCTTTTGTTTGTAGGGAGGGTCTAACGTAGCACGTAGTACAGCAACGTAAGATTTGTAAATGGACTGTACTTATATTGCACCTTCCTATCTAATCAATATACTCAAAAGCTCTTTACACTACAATCTGTGCCCTCATTTACCCATTCATACAGCACTCTACTGGATCTCTACAAGATAATCTGAACAAATCATTCTATAAAGATGGTCAGTGCTTTAGATCACATTCAGACACCAATGGGACACACATTGGATCCATTGAGGGGTTCAGTGTCTTGCTCAGGGACACTTCTGCTGGTGGAATTGAACTTTCAACTCTCCCATTGGAGGATGACTGCTTTAACCACTCAGCCACAGCTGCCCCATTTGTCAACTGGTAAATTCACTATACAATAAAAAAATACTCTACTGTCTTTTATCTGAATATTAAAAGAGAAACACACAGGCTTCATTCAGAAGGCATCGAGAATGGTGTCACCTTAGAAAATAAATAATAAAATTAATAAAAAATTAAATAGTTTAACAAAAAACTAACAATCAAAAAGTGCCTGAATCAAAAAATATGACCCAAAACTACATGCAAAATAATAAGGTAAATAACATTTCACAATGTGAAAATAATTAAACTACCGTAATTAAAACTGTGAAACGCAAACCATCAGTAGTCTAATGCCGTTGTGAGAAAATGAGGTTGATGTGAGGGATACTGAATAAATTTGCCAATGAATTGCCACATTATTCAAAAGTGTCACATATGATACAAATGCTTGCCAGACATGCAACACCATGTCTCATTCCCTCCGTCCCCGATCAGGGACACCAATTTTTGTCCACCCTTCCCCCACACAGACATCTGATTTGAATTAAACAGGCAGACGTTTGCTTTTACACTTTATTGTGAACCTACCATGATTTGTTTAAAGTGTTCCAAAAGTATATTTTCCTGCTTTTTCTGTCAGCGCTGTTAGCAAACTGCAGTTAAATAAAACCACACCGAGGCAGTGATTACCCAGATGTTTAGAATTAAGTTAAAACATCTGTACTGAACCATCACAGTATGAATACAACTGGCGTTACACGTCCAGAATATAACCAATGGTTTATTCTGTAAAAAGGGACAAACCAAATCATCCAACTCAATATTAAAGCACAAGTCATAAACTAAGGTTTGTAATGAATCTCAAAGCTCCACTCAATACACTGTACCAAAAGCATACAACTATTGTAAGGAAGTATCCATATAAATTATATTTCAGCAGTGGTGGGCACAGCTAATCAAAAAGTTAGTTTTACTAACCACTAATTAGCCAGCAACAACAAAAAAAACAAACAACTTCGCTAATGTTGAACTGCTAAACAGATAAGAAAAATTACCGGAAGCTACGGTAAAGTGCTAACTTTTATCACCCACTGCTGTTGCTAACACTATAAGACTGTAATGTGACAACGTTGTAAGTGAACACAACTCAAAACTGCTCATAAAATCAAAGCATCCTGTTCAGAGGTGAGCTTTCAGAATTTAATCCTGTCCAACAGAACCAAAGAGGAAGTGCAGAACTCTGCAGTGCTGAAGCAGAGCGATGCATTCATTGTGTGTCAGTCGTCTCCTTCATGTCATTTACTATATTGAACTAACTCACTTTAGTTATCCTCTTTGTGGTCAACTACATTTATATAACTACAAAGTTGCTGTGCATCATCATCATCATCAATATTCTCTCTGTAATACATATGTTTGTATTAAGGTAAAAATGTATGAAATTTGTGAAATGTGTGCAAGGGTCATGTCCCAGAGACAGTGTGAGCATTGCAAAGCATGCTGGGTAAGAATTATGTGTGAAAGCTTTCTGACTGTTTATGATGTTTCTGATGTGAAAATGGGTTTTTAGTGTTATTTTCCTGTTCTGGGTTGGTTTGGCATTTATGTTAAAGTCTCTGTTATTGGCTGTAAACTGAAACCATGAGTCAGTAATATTTTCCTCGTCATATTTACCACAAAAAGTCTGAGGGGTGTGACATCACTGAGTGATGCCTAAGCTCCCAGTAGTCATTTGTTGATGCAGCAGTACTCTGTGTTTATATGTTGTTAATATAAAGATATAAAAAAAATAAATAAAAAAAACAGGGAGTGCTTGTCCTGCAGCCCACACATCAGACCAGTCCACCAGGAAATCTCCAGATCCTCAATTCCTTCATTTCTCACCATTTCAGTCATAGCATCAACGGAGAAGGAAGAGATTGCTTGCCTTTTGGCATAAACAACAAAAGAAAAGGCCAGATCAGGGATGAAGAGGAATTTAATACATTGGTGTTGCATACAAAAAACAGTCCGTCGCCGGGCAGTTTATTGTGCGACACAGAATACGCGTAGGCGGTCGTAAAAATTGAGCTTTGCGCGTACATGTCCTGCACGGGTATGCTCGTACCTCCGCGTACAGACGTACGCAGGCGTATACTGGGGGCTTAAGCTTTGTATAGCTCCACATAGCATAGCTCTGTGGAAATCACCATTATCCTGTATGATTTTAGTGTGGAGACTAAACAAGTGGCAATATTTTTTGCAGCGTCTGAGGGTGGGTCATTGTACACACTCATTGCACATTTTGACCAGACAAACATTTATTAAATGTAATCAACTTACTGGGGTCTTTGGTTTAAGGCGAATAACTGGTTTAGGTGGCTTGGGGGGTAGTTTTAAATGCCGTTTCGGAGGGGGCTGTGGTTCATCTGGTTCAGGTTCAATCTAAAACATTAGACAGGACATAAAGTCAATGTATATGGCAAAGTGAAAACGTATAATGCTAGTGAAATTAAGAACTACTGCATGATTAATTTGTAATCAAAGTTATTCGACTCACATGAATCTCTGGTATTAGGAGCCTCTCTGGATATGGAGGACTTGCTGGAAGTGGAGGACTCGCTGGATGTGGGGTACTCTCTGGATTCTGTGGCATTTCTGGCCTGTGGCGTCGAGTTCGAGGAAGTGGCTTTGGTGGACGTTTAAAAGTTGATACCTGTGGAAGTTGGCATATGAAAGTTTATAGACAAGATCCATCATATGATATAAAATAACCTTAAAAGTTTGTACCATTGTCTGGCCACTTGCGAGTCATTACATACTTGAGTTAAGTCACCTAAAGAAGGGCTGGGCGATGCAGGCAGACTACTGGACTGACTTAAGGGAGTCAACTGGAGATCTTGTTTGTTTTCTTGAGAAGTCGTCAAGACCACGTCTTTTAGCGTATTGGGACGCTTTGGTTTATAGGGTGGAGGTGGTTTTGGCATTTTCTTGGGAAGATCTGTTGATGCGGACGTCTTCAACTTCACATTTGAAGAAATGTCTATTAAAGGTGTATACATGGGACTGGAGGTCATCTCAGACAGATCCTCACTTACTTTAGCCTCCAATGATCGTGGCTGAAAGATGTCTGACATGTCATTTGAAACATCTTGGAAATAGTCTTGTTGCTTAGAGGGAGTGGGACTAAAAGGATCGTCCAAATTGGAGACGTTAAATAAATTTCTTGAAAGTGGACTTGGAAATGGATCAATTGAAGTTGCAGATGAAGTTGAAAATATGTCCAGATTTTTTAAAAAAGGCTGACCAAAAATATCCCTCTCTTTATCGGGAGTATCTTTGTTTTCCCGATCATAAGAAAGTTTATCGCGTTTAAGTGAACCCGTTTGAAACAAGTCTGCTTCTGCTGCTTCAGTGTGGGAAAATGGGTTTGATGCTACAGTTTGTGGAGACTGGACCTTATTTGATGGTGATTTGAATGGGTCCAAGTAAACATTGGGAGATTTTTCCAACATAACCAACTCCTTAGGACGTTCCGAAATCACACTTTCAATTGTATGGAAACAATCCTCATGTCCATCTTTTAGAGAACTAAAGCCATTTTCATTCCGAGGTTTAGACGACTTTTGTGTTGAAGCTGTATTTCTGCCAGTGGGCTCAAGAGTTTTCAGAGGTGTTTTATGAAAATCATCATTGGCAGTGGCACTCTGATTTATAAAATTTGTTTGAAAGAGATTTCCTTCATGTTTATAGGTTTGAGACATGTTAAAAGGTTCCGAAGATTTGTCTTCATTTTTCACAGTCCTACTTTCAAAACCAAGATCCAAGGATGAACTCTCATAATCAGGTGGTGGGATTTCAATGCTACAACCATTTGCTGCTCCTGAAGATTTTCTTCCAGTGCCTTCCATTTCTGGACTTTTGTTGGTTGACTCCTGGTACCAGAACACAACATCACTGGGGATATGTTAAATAAAAAGTAATTTTACAAAGTAGAAATCTGTGTAGTGTACATACCAAGTAATATGAATAAAAAGGATTAGATCTGGTTGAGTCCCCTGAAACTTCATTCTGATGAATAAAAACAAATCAGGCATGAGAGAAAAGTGGCATTCATTTTCTCATAATGTGATCAAAATAAATTCCAAAACATACCTGAGAACTTGAATGAAGGAGTCCACCATTCTGAAAGGATCAGACAATATGACAGCATAAACAACAATACTCTAACCTTAAAACAAAGGCTAATCATAAGCTTTAGATTTAATAACCCCCATCTCACTTTTGCATATTTGTCTTGTGGTTTTATTACATATTGAGCTGTATGGCTGTAAACCAGCCACTAGGGAGCACAAGCCTATGTTATTCTTGTGCCAGTGCCAAGCCTGGGTAAATGGTGTGGGTTGTGTCAGGAAGGGCATCCAACATAAAACATTTGCCAAAACTATACGAGTTCATCAAAGCTACTGGATCGGTAGAGGCCCAGGTTAACAACGACCGCCACCGGTGCTGTTGACAAACAGGGTGCCAAATTGTGCTACTGATGGTCAAAGATCATTAGGATGGAAACATGTCAGGAGACAAAGAGGGAGAAGAGGAATGTCAAGAATGTAGGACTGAGGGTTGCAACTCTAAATGTGGGGACAATGACAGATAAAAAGGTAGAAAGAGGGCTGACATGATGCAGAGAAAAAAAGGTAGATGTTTTACGTGTCCAAGAGACCAAGTGGAAGGGCAGCAAGGCTCACAGTATTGTAGCAGAATTTAAACTGTTGTACCACAGTGTGGATAGAAAGAGCAATTGAATAGGTGTGGTCCTGAAGGAGGAGTTTGCAAAGACTGTAGTAGAGGTGAAAAGAGTGTGATAGGGTGATGTGCCTGAAGGTAGAAGTAGAAGGTCTGATGCTAAATGTTAGTTCTTCACAGATTGGATGCGATATGGAGGAGAAAGGTAATTTTGGAAGGATCTTGTTGAAGTGATTGAGATTATTCCCAGGAAGGAGAGAGTGGTGATTGGAACAGACCTGAATGAACATGTTGGCGAAGGAAATGGAGGGGATGAGGAAGTGATGGGTAGGTTTGGCATCAAGGTAAGAAACCAGGAAGGGCAAATGATAGTGGATTTTGCCAAGAGAAAGGAAACGGCTATAGTCAATACCCGTTTCCAAAGGAGGGAGAAACATAGAGTGACCTATAAGAGTAGAGGAAGGAGTACGCAGGTAGACTACATTCTGTGTAGAAAAGGAAACCTGAGGGAGATTGTGGACTGTAAGGTTGTGACAGGGGAGAACGTGGCTAGACAGCATCAGATGGTTGTGTGTAGAATGACTTATGAAGGAGAGAGAAAAAAGAAAAGAGTGAAATCTAATAAGACCAAATGGTGGAAGCCAAAGACAGCGTACATGTGTGTGAATGAGAGGGAGGTTGGTGGAACAGTGAGGCTACAAGGAGCAGAGGTCACAAAGGTGCAGGACTTCATGTACTTGGGATCCACTGTCCAGGAAAATGGAAACTGTAAGAGGGGAGAGAGAGAGTCCAGGCAGGATGGAGTGGATGGATAAAAGTTTCAGGAGTGATTTGTGACAAAAGAGTGTCAGCAAATGTCAAAAGAAAAGTTTACAAGACAGTGGTGAGACCAGCTATGTTGTATGGTCTGGAGACAGTGGAACTGACAAAGACAGTAGAAAGAACTGGAAGTGGCAGAAATGAAGATGTTGAGGTTCTCCTTAGGAGTGACTAGGATGGATAAGATTAGGAATGAGATCATCAGAGGTACAGCACAGGTTGAACAACTGGGAGATAAAGTTAGGGAGGCCAGACTGAGATAGTTTGGACATGTCCAGAGGAGGGACAGTGGGTATACTGGTAGAAGGCTGTTAGAAATGCAGCTGGCAGGAAAAAGACAAAGAGGAGATATATGGATGCAGTTAGAGAGTACATGGAGGTAGTTGGAATGAGGACAGGGTGAGATGGAGAAGGATGACTCGCTGTGGCGAGAAGTTCAAATTCACTTTGCCATTCGTATCACATGTGGTACATGAGGTGGAATGAAATTGTGTACTCAGGGTCCTAAGTGACAATGGCAAAATATAAAGGATAAAACGAAACAATATATAAGGATCTAAGATACATGCAAAACACTAATAACTTGAAATAATATGGTGTATTAAAAAGCAGCCCAGATGACTGAGAAGGAAGAAGAAGGATATATGAAACAAATGTCCCAAAATTGCCTTTTTACGCATCTCATTCTAGCAGATGTGACATCAACAAAACCATGTTGCCACAGATGTATTGGTCATGTCAAAAACATTCTGAAGTAACCTTGAAATGTCACATACCTTACACAAAACCTATTCTTTCTATCTATCTATCTATAAGTATTTATTTGGTGGCAATAACTAGGGTTGCACGATCTTAGAAATTTTTTGAAATGTGCACATTAATATTATGTTGATACTATTAACTGGCAGCACGGTGGCACAACTGGTAGAACTGATGCCTCTCAGAGAGCAGGTCCCTGGTTCAAACCCCGGTCCAGGGGCCTTTCTGGGTGGAGTTTGCATGTTCTCTCCGTGCATGCGTGGGTTTTCTCTGGGTGCTCCGGTTTCCTCCCACAGACCAAAAACATGCATGTTAGGCTGATTGGTAACTCTAAATTGTCCCTAGGTGTGAGTGAGAGAGTGAATGGTTGTTTGTCTCGTTTGTCTCTATGTGGCCCTGTGATGGACTTGCGCCCAGTCCAGGGTGTACCCCGCCCCTCGCACAGTGATTGCTGGACATGGGCACCGGTGACCCCCGTGACCCAAAATGGAACAAGCGGGTAAAGAAAATGGATGGATGGATGGACACTATTAACTGTGATAAAACCACTTTTTCCCCCTCACTTCATTAATTACACTAATCTAAATTAGATGTGTGCATTAAAGCAAGGGAGAGTTTGCCGACTTGATTAAAAAGATCATATTAGCAGCAGAACATGAATGGTACTTGAAATAAGACCTCTGGTTTACTTCAGTCCACGCAGTACTTAGGGATATTGACATTGCACTGACTGATTGTGCAGTCCTAGCAGTAACCCAACAGCAGCTCCACACATTCATGCTATCTATGCAAATTCTGTCTGAATGACACACTTGTGCACTAGTAGGAAGAAGACTATCCAAAAACAAGACGTTGGGTAAAACAATGGCTACTTAAAAAAAAAAAAAGAAAAAAGTTCAGACATTAGCACAGGATCATGGAAGAAATGCAACAAGAAAATGCTAGTAAATGCCAGATATGTAGCCACATCACAACAGGTAAGAACGAAACACCACCAACAAAAACAAGACTATCAGGCAAGTTTATACTATAGTATGTTTAATAGCATCATTCAAGCCAATGCATTATGTCTGCTCATGTGCCTCATTTCCCTCACAGATAAATAAAGCATGCATGAATGCATTCATTCGTTCATGCTTTCATTCATTCATGCATTCATTTGCAACAAGAATGCATTCTGAATGACACACAGGCCATATACTGTCAAAGACTACCTTTTACAACATAAACTTTTTTTAAGATCAGGAGGGTCTTCACAAAACTGACCTTATTTTCATAATTTATTAATGCAAAAAAAACAAAACATAACTGCAGAGTTTTGATAAACTAAAAGCTGTTCAAGAGCTAAAAGAAAACAAGTTACTCAAATTTGACAATTTAAAGGTTAAAAGGGGAGTGGTGGCGCAGAGGTTAGAGAAGGTGAGCCTGTGATCGGAAGGTTGTAGGTTCAACCCCGTAGAATGACAACATAAAATGTGGGTGGTAAAGGTCAAACACCCTCACCTGCCTCCACCCTCATTTGCTTCACTCTGGGCCCTTGAGCAAGGCTCTTAACCCCCACCATCAGCTCCCCCAGGTGCCCTAAACAGCAGCTCTCTGCTTCACACAGAGCTGTGGTCGCATCCGGCGTAAAAAGAATAATTGACAAGTCTTTGTACGACTTAGTTCACTGTGGCGACCCCTGAAGAAGGGAGCAGCCGAAAGAAAAATAAAGGGTTGAAAAGCAGCTGCAGAAGAATTGTTTTTTTTTCCCCAATTTTGAATGTTCATTTTTCTCACTTGGTGTAATTGTTAAATCACGTTTGTGTGTGTTGAGCAGTCAGTGTTTGTGTATTAAATCAGAGACCGACACTTTGTGTTGCTCAGCGGCTCGTCCACTGATCGCTGTAGCTCACCCTGTTAGTGAACGCTGGTTAGAGTCCTGCACATTTCTCTCAGTTATTATTACTTAATG